GTTGAAGGGAATGTAACGGCCAAGACAATCAACCCCCCAAAAAATTGCCAGGCTGAGTCGGAATCATTCCAAGGCCTGAAATGAGCAGTTTTTTTGGTGGTTGAACCTAGTAAGATTATGTTCCTTATATAAGATACTATACCCCAAAAGGATCCAAAAGGAGGATAGAATCTTACTCTATCCCCAAATAAAACACTACTCACGTGAAATACCACTTACCCTACGCTAGGACCCAGGAATGGCTGTATGTTGGGGATCCTGAGTGGTGCAAGATGTCCTGCATCCGCTTGTAGGGAACACCGTTTAGCTGTACCTGTTTCATCACATCCCCCAAGCAACGGGACTCGCCCACCTTAAGCCCTAAACCTTAAACCCTAAATGAATACATTCACAGCAATGATAATATCGTATACTTACTGGGTTGGCCCCTAAAACCCTTTGAAAACTGTTAGTATATAGGGTCCCTTATTAAAGCCATTAGGGAAAATATTAAATATCCCAGGGGCCTACCCAGCTTAGGGGAAGACTATCACCGAGGTGGGGCTTATAATCATATTTGGAGGGTCATGGGGACTTTGTAAGTACCTTAATCATGAAAAACAAAATGAAAACTACTTTAAATCAGTTAGGGTTTAGGGTCGTGGGGACTTAGTAAGTAGGTTCACAATTGGAATTAGTGGCGTTATTATATCGCTTATGGGGGTTGTTATACTTCCTGAGGTATCCAACCAACCAGGAGGGGATTTTTGGTAAGTAACCTAACGGTGGACTGTATCAGACCCCCTGCTGCACAAGCTCTCTATCTAGTCGCTGTATACCGCCCGCTGCTCCCGGTGACAAGCTTGGGAAGGGTGGCTATCATGAGCTGTCCACATTGTCTTCTTGTTACAGCCATCATGCTTGGAACAGGGGCAAAGTATCACGCAACGGAATATCTCATTGCAGATATCCCACCGACCGCGGCCGGTCATCTCTCCATCTCTGTGCTTCACGTGTCCCACCTCCGGGATTATCGGTATCAAGACTCTCCGAAATCCGGGTTGGGACTAGCTTGTCCTCAACGATGTTCTCGCAAGAATCCATGACCCGCCAAGTAGGACGTCCTGACCTAAACAAGCACTAAACAACCCCCAGCAGCATCTCATTTGGGGGTGGTGGGCAATTGGAGGATGGATGTACGCTACTGTCCTTTCAATTTTAAGCGGCCACATAAACCCCCACGTGCCCGCCTCCAAACTAACATAGAAGATTCTAAGATGCCCTTGAAAGAACTACAGAAATTGTAGAAGCGGCCTAGATGGGGCATCGTGACAATTGCGCGCTTTGGGGTACCCTAAGCCACCCCACCCTAAATCCTGAGCCCTAAATCCTAAACTCACAGCCCGCAACCCTTGTTGGGTACTCAATTTGACCACTCCTGCCAGGGATTTCCATGCTATTTTTTGGGGAGCGTACTGCCTTTGACTGTACAACTTCAACCCTTAACGCCCTGAACCACTGGCCGGCGAGTAACTGCTCATATCTCCTGCTAACCCTACTTGCCCTAGTTACCCTAGTTTTAACTAGAGCCGTAAACCCTGAACCTTGGGTACTGCCCCCCCTCAGTAACAGTTGGATAATAATTATAATAGGGTTATACATAGCCCTTAATAGGACCCCTAATATAGACTGTTACTGGGTGGGGGCAGTACCCAACCTAAACCTAAAGAGGCATGGCGCGAGCTATAGTCACTTGCTATGTCGCATGAGCGGCTCAGGAGCCAGCACATACCAATTAGGGTTTAGGGTTTAGGGTTGAAACCTTGGGCCCCTAGTATGGGACCTTAACCCTGGGATCCTCACATACCTACCATATGCCCTGTATGTACCTAAGGGCCCCTAGACCCCCCCTAAAAGGCCTAAGAGCCCATGTTGTGGGCCCATACGTCCAACCCTCAAGCAATGGCATTAAGCCTGAAACTTGACACTTAATTGGATGTGCAGCCTGTAAGTAGCCCTTACACAGCATTACAAAACCCCATATTCCCAGCTCTCCGCAAATCACCTCACAAGGGTCCCCACGAATTTAGAGTCCCTGCTACTTCTAGATAGATCCTCAACCCTCAAGCCACCCTGTCACCAAGGAATCCCGTGTCCTGGAGATTGTTCTTCATGATGAACCTTTCGTAGCCCTAAACCCTAAACCCAGGACCCTACCCCGCTGCGCACACCCCACCCCCAAATACGGTCCTATCTAAGTAGGGTCTTGTTGAACCCTCATTTGGGGGTCAGGCGTGTTAGGGCGAGGCCTAAACAACAAAAGTCCCGGTTCACAAAGGGTCCCTGAAGCTACAAGGGCGTGTTGTTGAAGCGCTGCACACTCAACTCGAAACCCTGAAAAAAGACTCATCAAACGACGTTTGATTAGATGGCTCTTAGGAAACGCAAAAAGTTGGGGATTGAAGGTTTAGGGTTTGGGGTTTTAGGGCTGGGTGGGTATATCACGACACAATGGTGTGATCCCTGAACCCTCAAACAGGGCTTAGGGTTTAAGGGTTTGGGTTTTAGGGGTTAGGGTTTGGGGTTTAGGGTCGTTGATTTGGTTCGCGGTTGGTGTTGGCCCTCAACAAAAACGGAAGCATATAAGCTCGTATGTTCCTTTGGGGGGCTGTTATTCTTCCTTGGTAACGGACGTACTACCCAGAAAAATCATGGGTCAAATCTAGATCCTCATCGTTAGGCCGATTTGGCGGGAAAACCATTGCTAGCTATGTTTTGGGTACTTCTCCGGTTTACGGTTCGGTGAATTAGGATTTAGGATTTAAGGGTTTACTGCCCTATATATATATATATACACATGTACATAAGCTCCTGACAAGTGTACAAGCTACTACACTGACGACATTGGGGCGCTGCTTTGGGGTGGGGCAATATCCAAGCTATGCTGGCCCTGCTCTTCTACACAACAGCCAGAGGAAAATGGCTCGCTGCGAACTCCATCATCAATAGCCTTTAGGGTTCAGGGTTACGCGTGCCCCCAAACAAGGACTCTATGGCTATGATTGGAATGTTTTGATAAGTTTTTTCTTGTAAGGGGCTGGGGTTCTTGAAGCTTCCTGACTAATCCTGTGCCATAGTCACTGTTTCCATGCAACAACTGAAGCGGTGGTAGCTCATTGGGCTGACTGCTAAGACTGCCCAAGATGGCTTCAGCGCCACACATATGAATCCGTTTTCAAACCTCTCCTGCCCCCGATCCTCCCCCCCCTCCAAAAGCAACCCCAAATGATAGTTTCTATAAATCGGGAGGCCCCAATATACTATGATCCTGATTATGGAACCCCTAAGAGAGAACCCAAACTTCCGAAAACCACCCAGATGAAACCAATTCATGCTCAATGTCCTTGTTTGGGGGACGCTGTGGAAGGGGGGGAGGGGGTGGCAGAGCGTTTCGAAGACCCGTGTGCACAGCCTCAATAACAATCCCACAATCCCAATCCACCATCCGAAGCTTGACAGTTCTAGCAGGCTGATACCATGGGACATGTCTGCAATGAAGGCTCATTCCCACGAAGATGAGAAACGAAGCCATTGATACTTAGGCTCCATGGCTGCACAAAATCCCAGCAACCCCAGGCATGAAACCAAAGTTTGCGGATTTTGGGTTGGGGGCCCAAAGCCCTGAACCTGAACCCTAGACTCTGAACCATGAACCCGAAAAAACTACACATGAAACAATGCAGGACATTTCGCTCTAAGATCCACCCGAAACCCTAAACCCTAAACCCTAAACCCTGAGATCACGCGCTACCCAGGTTCTCTCGGAAATCCCATTCAAGCTCAGCATATTACCTGGCGCCTATGAGGGAATTTTGAATGAAAGAATGGAGACTTGTAGTATTCCTTACATAATATGCGCTACAGTCAGTATGACCCAGATAGCTAACGGACGTGGATTCCGTATTCGGGTATAAATTCGGACTACTAGAACCTACTACAGAAAGGACCCCTACGTCCACCCTGAAGGGCCCCTTGGCAGGCCAAATATTGACAGTGGCTCATATGAGTAATAGTCCAAACTCCTAGTATCCTCCTTTACAACCCCTATTATACTCCGCTATATTATCCTCTATATAGCCCCCTTTGAAGAGTTTAGACAGTGGCTCATATGATCCCCTGCAACAGCCCCCAAACCCTAGATCCCAGATCAGATCTGAGGGTTTCTCCCCTAAATCTTGCACCCAAAACCCAAAACCTGTACTATAATTACCATTATCCAATTGGTATCCTTCTAATCTAAGCGGAAGTACGGCCCCTGGTCTGAGCCCTTGGCCTCAGCCCATTTTGGGGCTCCAGGGACCCCATGCGGGTACCTAACTATAGGGCATGATAAGGACCCGAAGGTTAAGGGCCCTAGGGCGAACACACTTAGGAGTTTAAAGATTAGGGTTTAGGGACCTGAAATTTTGGCAAAGTGCTTCATGGCATTGTTCGTGTTCGGCTTGACATCTCCGGCGGCAGGGACTATGGCCAGGTACCTGATGGTTTAGCGATTTGAGCTTTAAGGTTTTGGCTTAGAATGGCTTAGAGGTTAGGGTTTAGGGCTTAGGGTATACTTGTTCGCAATTGTGAAGTTAGGTAACTTCCTACACTCCCGGAAACTAACATGGAAACCCAAAAACGGCCCTATAAAGACTACAGTCCTTCTAAAAGGGGGCTATATGGGTTTCCATGTTAGTTTGGGGGAGTGTAACTATATCAGCCCAGGCTAACCCTACTGCAACCTGTTGTAAGTAGGTTCCCTACCCCGTTAATAACCCCAAGGGACCCCAAGGCCAGGATTTGCCTAGTATATATACTTGGGGGCACATAGCATCCCTAGGGGTTTAGGGGTTTAGGGTTTAAGGGTTTAGGGTTTAGGGTTTAGAGGTTTAGGGGTTTAGGGTTTAAGGGTTTAGGGGTTCAGGGTGTAGGGTTTAGGGCCGTAAACCCTGAACCTTAAACATGTTAGAACCGGGGTTGTAGCCCTACCTATTCATCTCTCTTCTTCAAATGCCAGGCTCAATTAAGCTCAAACCTTTTTTAGGCCAAATGGGGGTTTCCCAAAACTAGGGGCAACTTTTTAAGGGGTCCCCATAATAAGGACTATAGTCTATGGTAGTTGGGGCGTCTATGTTGAAGCTCCCCTAGGCTTCCAAACCAGGAGCCTCAAGCCTTCTTGGATTCTTGGAGGCTCATGAGGACGCCATGTAATAACCCAAATATCCCCATTACTAATCTACGTACTAAATCCCCACGGCCCTCCAAGCTCGCTGGCGCTTAGTAGGGTATGCATTATAGGGACTGTTCTAGGGGACTGTATAGGCACGACTACAGGGATCCACTCCCTTTTTGCCCACGGAGCACTTGTGTGCGGATCCTAAATCCTAAGCTTTTTTTAGGGTTTAGGGTTTAGGGTTTAGGGTTTAAGCAATTCTCAACGGGGAAATTCTCCCTGCGCACCATCCATCGAATTTCGAAGCCGGTAGAATCCCCTCCCCAATAATTTCCCGCCCACCCAAATGACACATAGTTCCCCTGATATGTGCTTGTACTAATATTGGCGGGGTATTGCAGTGGGTGTGGGCTTGTATTTGGGGCGGAGGTGGTGAATGCACAACATTGCATGCAGAAATCCTCGTCGAAACACTTCTCATGCCCAGCGATCTCAATCCGAAACTCGGAACCCTGCAGCAGCCCCAGTTCTTTACCTTGTTCCAAACACAGCGACATGTTGTTCCGTCCGTTGCGCTGGTCGTCGTCAACTTGCTTCTGCACAATCTGCAGCACGGCCTAGGTTGAAGCAGTTTGGTTTATTGGGTTGCTGTTTAAGGAACTTAAGCCAACTTACCACAGTGGGTATATATATATAGCAATTAATATGATTTCCCCATTATAGTAGCTGAATTTAAGTCCCTTAACAACAACCCAGTTTAGAGTTCACTGCCTGGGGCCCAATCAGAGTGTGGGGATGGAAGTGTTATGATGGGTTCAGGGCTTTCAGCTCCTAAACCCTAAGCCCTAAACCAGGTTTAGGGAAGAGCCGGGCTTAGACAGTTTAGGGTACCCTAAACCCTAAACCCTGCGGTTTGAAAACTTGGGCCTCAAGGCCTTAAGGTCTGGGATGTGGAGCCGAGGGCATGGCCCTGTCTGGTACCATTGCAGCAAGCAACCTAAACCATCAGAAGGTTTAGGGCTTAGGGCTCTGAGCCCTCATTTTCCCTGAGCCCTGAAACCTCCAGGAAAAAGCAGCTCTCACTCCCCTAACCCCTTTAAGTCCAAGCCCCTCAACCGCTTGGGGGGTCAGGGGGACTTAGTAAGTGGTTTAATAATGGGGATAATTAAGGTTACTATATGGGTTAAAAAGGTTATCAACCTACTTACTAAGTTCCCCTGACCTTCCAAGTAGACCCTAAACCCGTAACCCTAAACCCTGTATATCCCGATATGTCCCCATACATCCCTACATACCCCTATA